ACAATCAAGTGGGGAAAACATCAAGGGTTGAAGATCAAGTCATCATTCAACCTCCTTTTAGACAAGAAGACAAGGGAAAGGCTCCCCAACTTGCTTCAGGGTCACAAGCCCAACAACAACCTCGCCAGCGTCAACAGGGTAATCGGCGTAAGAAAAATACGTCTGGAAGACATTTCTCTGAGACTGACATACCATAATCTCTAATATTGAAACGCTTGTTGGAGGCCAATCTGCTTGCTTTAAAGGATCCTATTTGGAAGCCTAATACCTCTACTCCTAGCTATCACCCCGACACATTTTGTGTATACCACTCCCATAGTCTTGGACATGACACCGATGACTGTTGGGCTTTGAAAAACAAGATCCAAGACTTGATTGACGAAGGAGTGCTGGAATTCATGCCGGATGGCGAGATGAAAATCTTCCGCTAAGGGTTCTCCACCTGAATTGACAAAGTTTGAACTAAGAGACTTTTGTTTCATTTGAATGTTCAAGTTGTAATTTCTTTTGTTATTCAAACAATTATCTGTTGATGTCAAACTTTGTTTCATTAATGCATTGCATATGTTTGTCTTGAATTCATCCATTCGTTTTCACTATTCTCGAATCATGCTCCCTACGTCCTTTATGATATTTAACTCTTGATAAAAGCTACAAGCCTTTAGAGGGAGGATGACGAAACAATACCATAATATCATACAATATGCTTTTGGACAGACCTTGCTGACGATGTACAGACGTTTCTTTCAAATCCTAAACACTGGAGTTATAAGGAAGATAATCCCTAGTCAACCCCTTCGAGCCAAATAAGTAGGAGTTTTCTGTTTTAAACACAAATCGAAACCTTTGATTTAAACCTGGGGCAGGGTAGTCTCTCAGTTAATTCAAAAGATGCGCATTGAAGTCGCAAATTCTCAGTTCGTAATACAACGAATGACATCAAAAACATTCCTTTAGGAACCAAAAAGACAGTGATAGTTCCTTATCTCATAGGCAGTCATTACCTCTCAAAAGAGAAAAGACCACTAAGCCAAAACCTATAAAGGAGGCTTAAGAAAGCTGGGGCATCCCGCTGACTGTAATCTCGAAAACAGGAACAATCAGGCAAAAATTAGGGATAACGAATCAAAATAAAGAGGTCATTATAAATCCCCAACAACATGAAAAATGTTGCAAAAATGATGACTGCCTTCCAATAAATTCAACTGGTGTGAACCATCACCCAAAACGTCGTTCGAAGCTCGAATAGAGTTCGATGCACAATTAACTGAGTTTAGGATTGAAGAACATCATGAAGAGCGGGTGGGTACAAATATACTTTGAGCCTTTATCCTTTGTTTCTTAAACCATGAACCAAGCCACGTTACAACCCTTCAAAAGTCCTAATTGAAGCACAGGTTAGTTCGAAAGCGTACTGTTAAAAAAGGTATCCTGACTCCTGTAAGGCTTTGCCCTAAATCTGGTGTTGAATTTGTCTTATAAAAAGTTTTCTGCTAAAAAACGCATTTTTCAAAACTTCGAGACAAGCATAAACTTTGCATTATTTGAATATCGTTGTTTGCACATGGTTATTTGTTTGACAACGAAGAAATTCATACAGTAAATGTTCGGAGGAACGAAAGCTCTCTCAGTGAATAAAATCACTTTAAGTGGGATGACACTCCCGTTGCAAAAATCTCCCATCAACAAAAGGGGACTTGGTATGGTATTTGTCCAGTAAACCTCGGGCAGTCCAGTCAAGATTTCAATAAATCTTTCAAAGTTCAGTTAACCTGGGGCAGTCAAGTTAAGATTTCAAGAAATCTCTCAATTGCAGGATAACCTGGGGCAAGTCTCCCTCACCATCACTTGGGGCATTTAAACGTCAATCTCAACAAAGGGTTACGTGCAGTCCAAGTTTCCTGGCAATACCACAAACATCTGATACTAGGGGCAGTGATGAACCTCTCCGAAATCTTTCTAAAAAGAAGTTCAAACGTCCTCGAGAAGTTTATCACCTCTCTAAGCAGACCAGCAATCATGGGTTTATTTCCCCAATATTTATCAAGGATTTATTCTCAAAAAAACAAATTACATGTCAAATTGAACGGTCGTTCAAAATTTCCTTCATCACCTGCTGGAAGTTACGGTCGTCATCAAAGATTCCTTCATCACCTGTTGGAAGTTACAGCCACCAATAGAATAACGGACAACTGAAGCTCCTAAAAATCTGTTTCTCTCAAGAATGAAGATTCTCATCCTTGAAACCTCAAGAGATTGGTATACTCCCAACCTCCTGACCCTTAACAGAATGAAGATTCTCATCCTTGAAACCTCAAGAGATTGGTATACTCCCAACCTCCTGACCCTTAACAGAATGAAGATTCTCATCCTTGAAACCTCAGAATATTGGTATACTCCCAACCTCTTGACCCTTAACAGCATGAAGATTCTCATCCTTGAAACCTCAGAAGATTGGTATACTCCCAACTTCCTGACCCTTAACAGAATGAAGATTCTCATCCTTGAAACCTCAGAAGATTGGTATACTCCCAACCTCCTGACCCTTAACAGAATGAAGATTCTCATCCTTGAAACCTCAGAAGATTGGTATACTCCCAACCTCCTGACCCTTAACAGAATGAAGATTCTCATCCTTGAAACCTCAGAAGATTGGTATACTCCCAACCTCCTGACCCTTAACAGAATGAAGATTCTCATCCTTGAAACCTCAGAAGATTGGTATACTCCCAACCTCCTGACCCTTAACAGAATGAAGATTCTCATCCTTGAAACCTTAAGAGATTGGTATACTCCCAACCTCCTGACCCTTAACAGAATGAAGATTCTCATCCTTGAAACCTCAGAAGATTGGTATACTCCCAACCTCCTGACCCTTAACAGAATGAAGATTCTCATCCTTAAAACCTCAAGAGATTGGCATACACCCAATCTTATGACCCAAGACCTGAATGAAGATTCTCATTTTGGCTTCCCCAGTAGATTGGCATACACCCAACCTCCTGATATTCCCGACAGAATGAAGATTCTCATTTCTCAAAGTGGTATAACATCTGAATTTCTAGTATTCCCGACAGAGTGAAGATTCTCATTCTTAAAGTGGCATACAACCTAAACCTTAACTTCTTCCAGACAGGAATAAGCTTTTTCCATAATCCTGAGTTTTACTCTCCAACAGGATAACTACTTTTCAAACAGTATGGCTATTCCCCACAAACATTAATCCCCCAAGCAGAATGAAGACTCTCATTCTCAATTCCTCACAGAGTATTCAGATATTCCCCAGTGAAGATCTCCTCAAAACAGGAATCCCCAGTAGATTGGCATACAACCCAAACTCCTGATTTCCCCAACAGTGGTCCCAGGAC